TTAACTGGGGGCGTGTAGCAGTTCTCGCCGTAAAGCAAGACTGACTCTCACGAGACTTCTGAGCCTGTGGGTGCGGGTCGGTGCTCCTGCAGTTGCAAGTACAGTATTTCCCCCACAGACCACCAGGGCGGCCGAGAATACCTTTGTTCAACCTGAAATGAATCATTTAATCATCCATAACGGTATGGAACACATTAATTAACTGAAAAATGTTGCATAGTGTGCCTTTAAATACTTGTTTCCATGTATTTCTGCATCAATGCTTTATGGCCTGAAGAGGATATATGGCCTTGCTTAGGATGGTTAATGTTGCTATAATTGCAACTTTCAACTCCTCTTCATAGTTGAGTTTTTTATCATATTTGTCCAGACAGCCCATCTGATTTTTTTGTACCTCACTGCTATGTTGACCAGAGTTTGTTGTAATGGCCATAAAAACAGAATCAGTGCTTTTAACAGTGTAGGAAAGTGCATTTAGCCTTAATGTGGGATACTCTGATTACAACAGAAAGTAGTAATGTTCATGTGGAATAAGAAGGGAGGTGGGAGGTCGTCTGAGGTTTCCTTATAGAAGCCTGCAGTGACTGGGGATTTCATAGTTTGCAGCGGACCAACACCACCGGATGACTGAGTGTATGATTAACAGTGAATTAACCGTTCTAGCCTCTTTGCTCGATTCATCCCTGGATGTGACGGCTCTTTAATCACCCTGTGCCAAAAAATTAAGCTTTTATTAAAAAAAATGAACAATTTAATTTAAAATTAGATCAGGGTGGTGTGAGAGAGGGAGGTAGAAATTGTTTCCTAAAAAAAGAAAAAAAAAAAAGCCCCATCTACACCACCCTATGAAAACCGGTCCGTTGCGACCTTGGATCAGTTAACCATGCTAGCACGGTTCCTTGCCTCCTAGTGGCGATATACAGTACTACCGCTTTTAGATGTAAACAATCAACCAACATCATCGGACGACAGAGCGTGCGGTTAACAGTGAATTTAGCCGTTCTAACCTCTTTGCTCGGTTCATCCCTGGATATGACGGCTCTTTAATCACCCTCCTAAAAAAAAGGTTCATATTCACCTTTCGTTTAACGACTAACCTCCTTAGAATTGACCCTTTTTTGACAGCCTTCAAATTCACAAATTTTTCTCGGGTTGTGTCCAATGTACCATTTGGCAAAAACAACACTCCATAATGCTTAAAAAAAAAAGTTTCCCCTAATTTTTCTTCCTGGATGTTATGATTTTGTATATAAAATCAGTTTCCCCAGTGTTTTAATGATGGGCTCAGCCTGTGGTGCCTGTCTGCCTCCCCCTTTCTGAACCCTGACAGCAGCATGTTTGTGTTTGCTCTGCGCTCAGATCACGGTCTCGCACGGCTGGTGGAGGCGTACAGAACGCATGGACACAAGGCTGCTAAAATTAACCCCTTACTGCCTCAGCAACCTGTTGTGGACAGCGTCCCAGAGATAGAAATGCTGGCTGCTGCCGTCAGAGGAACGCTCAACACCTCAGGTAAGTTTCACAGAGACCTTTGAAACATTCAGGAGCTTAAATCTTGCGGTTCTTTTGACCTGCTGCTGTATTTGAGACTTCATAGAGGCGTCGCTTTATTCCTGAATATGAAAATGTTGGAATTAATGGAAAGAAAAGAGACATTAGGTTTCAACCTGGCATCTAAGGATAGATTTATCATCTTTACTGCCATGAATTTAACCTGTTATGAAACACAAATCGCTCCAACCACACAGTGACTAAGGCCTGCTTTTATTTGTTCAAACCTGGTTAATTTTATAATGATCCTGCAAAGTCTTAAAAGAATAGAGAAACATTGATTATGAAAAAAGAAAACTGAATAAAGGTTTGATCTGAGCATCTTGATTATCAATCATCCTTTAATATCTGTGCAGTCTTTGGCTTAAGATGATTAAAAGCTCATTTAAGAATACTACTTGACCTCAATTCAATATTTAATGATATAATTTTATTCAATAATGGTGATATGACGTTTGAACATAATTTGAGTTTTTTTGATATACGCTGCGTTCTGTGGGCAGTGGCGTTTGTCACTGATGTTCTGGGCGACGTGCACAGCGTGTAGAAAACATGTTGGTTACGAAGCAATGGCTGGTCATCGGCAACATCCTGTGACATGGGAAGGCTGAGCTGAGAGAAGGGTTGGGTTCAAACGTTACTAGTGATGCCA